TCTTTGAGACAAGCATATGACTACTGGCAGAATCAACCAGGTAACTAATTCTTTCCGACTTCCCACTGCAAGACCTCGCGCGAAACAAGGCCAAGCTTCAGAAAGCCGAATCAGCTTTGCCCCACCCCTTTCCCTTCGAAAAAGGCAAGAGGAGAGGCTCGGCTGACCGTGTTTTTCACAAAAGCGTTAGCAGTCACTGCGTTTAAATGAAAAACGCAGAGAAAGCTGGAAATCGCTTCACCTCAGTCTCGCTTGGGCACCGAAATGCCCTAGCAGGACGGAAGGTCAGGACGAATTCCTCCTATCTCTCCGATTCCACTTTGCTCTGGAATGAAAACCAAGCATACGTGTTTGAAAGTTTCGAAACAGTTGCCTGTTCAAATGGACCGACAAAACGTAGCTTAGGCCACCCCTTGGTGGAGGCTAGATGCGATTTTGTTGATTCCATAAAGAAAAAAACTCCAAAGCGTCCGCACCTCCGAGTGAATTTGGTGTTACATAAATGCTTTAGGACTAGCCATCGGCAAGGATGTTCACCTCATTCGCCATTGCGAGAAAAACTAAAAAGACTTTCCCGACTTTAATGTTTTCGCCTCTACCGTTCAACCACAAAAAGGGATCAGCAGGCGTGGGCTCCACACTATTCGCCTGGTTCGTCGATACGCCTAAGCGGAGAACTCTATGCGAGGTGAGGTTCCCCGGTTTTTTGGAACACAACACATCCGAACTTTGGTTCTAGCAGTCAAAACTGTTTCGAGTCCTCACCACGAGCTCGCTCGAGTGGTGATGAAACGGCACAGCAGAGCCTGTGAGAACCAAGCCAAGATCTTCCCCAGAGACATCAAGCAAGCCCGAAGGCAAGCGACTTCAATCTGAAAGGAGGAAAAGAGAAGTTCACAGTTGCCGCCGATTTGTACAGATGCTTGCTGCCTAAGCTGCTTGCACTTTCCATTTCGTCGTTGAGCTATTTACTCCTCTTTCGTATATCCCAGGGCAGGGAGTCTGTGGAACTGGTCCAAAAGGGGACCTGGAAATTCTCTCCAGCCACAGGGTGGGGTGCTCGCGCTTTTTTTGGACCCTTGCGCGCCAAAACGGAATTTCGGACCCTTTTGCAGATGTTATTCGTCAGGGTCTAACATTCTCACGCGCGCGAAAATTCCAAAAAAAAAAAGTTAAAAAAAAAAGTCGCGCTGATCTAACATGTCAATGTGCGCGCGCGCAAAAAGTCGAAAAGTCAAGAAAGTTGCGAGGATCTAACACGTCGATGCGCGCGCGCGTAAAGTCGAAAAAGTGTCTGGCGCGCGTGTGCTCAAGGGCGGTCTAACATTGCGCATCGGACGCGTCGAAAATCTCGACTTTTTCGACGATCCCACTTTGAGTTGGTCAGCACACTCTGAAGTACTTTGTCGAAAAAAGTCAAAAAAATGTCGAAAAAAAGGTGACTCCAAAATGCAGGCCCTGTATGGCCCTGCCCTTTTTGGATGAACTCGGCAGGGAGTTGCCTGGCAACGGCCGGCCGGCCGAATGTGGGACTCAATGATGAAATTACACGGATATGAACACACACTCGGCCAGTCCAGAGTGTAACTCAATGAGCTCAGATACGAAACTACAATCTAACACTAGGAACACACACTGTTGTCTTGGTCATGGCAAGTGCAGCACCATTGTTGAGTCTAACAAAAGTGAAAACTCAAAAAAGAACAATACTTGAGTGCAGCCCTGCCCAAGGCCGCCTGCCGACTTGGACTTTTTCCAAAAGTTGTGCGCGAGGCAAAGGCTGACCCCTTTGGAAAAAGTCGAAAAATCGAAAATGTCCAAAAGTCCAGCCAAGTCGCGCGAGGCAAAGGCTGACTGACCCCTTTGGAAAAAGTCGAAAAATCGAAAATGTCCAAAAGTCCAGCCAAGTCGCGCGAGGCAAAGGCTGACTGACCCCTTTGGAAAAAGTCGAAAAATCGAAAATGTCCAAAAGTCCAGCCAAGTCGCGCGAGGCAAAGGCTGACTGACCCCTTTGAAAAAAAAGACCCATACATGTAGAGACAAGCCGATCTCACATTGGCACCCCCCAAAAAGAAAGTTTGGAATATCCAAACAAATCGTGGAAGATAGGGCTGAGCCTCAGCAGATCGTAGCAACAAGGCCACTCTACTGCTTACAGCACCCCCTTCCCATTCAAGTCGTCTGCAAGAGATTTTTCCCCGCTCATATTGGTATTGCAATTCACGAGGTAGACAGCAGACCTTTCCGTCCACTGCCCCTCCCTCGCCAGCTATGGTACACAAGCATCAGAGATGCCTTATTTCTACTCATTTCATATCAGCGGGACCAACATCATCGCTTCCAGCACAGATTCTGGCTTAGAGGCGTTCAGCCATTATCTAGCGTGTGGTAGCTTCGCCGCACTGCCCTGTTGGACAACGGCCAAGACCAATTACACGAATCAACAGTTCCTCTCGTACTAAGTTGAATTACTGTTACGATAACCCTCAATCAGTAGGGT